TCCGGCGACGACGCCTTGGGGATGCTGCCCTGGGTCGCGGACGATTCGCGTGTAACGCACTTATCGTTTTTTATCGTTTGTTGTAACGATAATTATGTTGTCCGGCGACGACGCCTTGGGGACGCTGCCCTGGGTCGCGGACGATTCGTATGTTCGGTGACGACGCCTTGGGGCTGTTGCCCTGAGTCACCTTCACGGATGCTACGATTCGCGACTCTCACTGAATCGATCACGATCGAAACCCTTGATATTATCGACGCGAGTACTCTCGATGCACGTAGGAGATTGTTCTGTCTGTTTCGGACTATCACGTTCGACTATACTGCGATCCCCCGCCAAGACTCCAGGAAATTTTCCCAAAATCTTATTGGTGGGCCCTTAGGTCCGCCTATCGATCATCGATCAGCGGCTCGCAGACATCGGAGAAAACAAAGGGTGCGGGGATTACGGAAGCCGCGCGCCCGAGCTCACCGGCGCCGTACACGTTCGAACTCACACCGCACGCCGCCCCTAATCTTTGTAAACAAGATTGCGCGGATGCGTCGACAGACGGTCGCCTGTGTCGATGCGTGCGTTCTGTGCCGCTTATGATATCGTCTTTTGTTGTGTACATTTATATGTATGTACATACATTGCGTCGTAGAAATGTCGCGCACGACCCTTCTACGACGCAACACCGTCCTTCCGTATCCTTCCCCCACGTGCACGAAAGCGTAGAGTTCAAGTTTTATCACTGATTCATCGCATGTATGCGCTGGAACGCGCACATCGTGTCCGACTCGTGAGAGACGCTACGCAACAGTATTCACAGTACTGAATCGCGAAGTATTCATTATAATGAACTTCAGAAGAATACTTCAAGACAAACTGATTGAGACTAATTCTTCAAGAATTCTTCAGATATTCATTTTTCTAATTCTGCATGTTTTCTTTAAAATGAATTCTCTATGAACTTGTTCATCTTTGTGCTATCTAGGTATAATACAAAACCTTACCTTTTCATCCGAGTAACAAGTTAGAGAAAAAAACTTATTGAACTGAATGCTTATTTCTAACAAAGTATGTATGACACAAGATTGTTACGACACATTTTAACTTTTTGTCCGCGAAATGAAATCAAAATTCCCTCTTTCCTTTTCTTCTCGAAACAATATCAGAATTAGTGAGTTCAATTTTACAGATTTTTTTTTGACAAAGTTGAAATTTACGTTTATCTTGTGTACATCTTTCTGGCAATTTACAATGTGGCAAAATTAGAATATAATTCTTTTTCGATGCAAAATGTTAATTTTCTTAGATATCAGCAGAGCAGTATGATAGTTTTACGGCCAGTTTCGCTGTCGCGGAAACATCCCAAGCCCAAGCCAATGAGAAAAAAATAGACACAATCGACGCTAAAGTCACAGTCCCAGTAACGAAAGACAAAGATCCTACTTGGTAAGGAAAGGCATTATTAATTTATAGGTCAGATCTGAAGCTAAGAGGTGCAATTCGATGGCTTTTTATGACGATATTAAATAACTAAGCAAAGTGTAACGAAATAAAAATATTACTGCGAAAATAATATTAATTTAGAATTAAATAAAAAAATCAATTTTTAGTAAACGCGTTATGCTAAACGTAATTACCACTTAATTGCGATACATTTATTCGAAAAACATTAAATACAAATAAACTATTTAATTTCACTACTGTTACATGTCGTTTTCCAATTACCGATCATATTTTCAATTGTGTTCCGTTCAATTGTAGATTTTTTATTACGTTTTATATTTGAATTGATAACGTTTAACGCCGTTTCTTTCCGCCTTTTTTTATTCAGTACCATCAAAGGACCCGTTGTATTTACGGCGGTATCAAAGGACGCAGATTGCTATAACATGAATCACAAAAATCGCGGCAAGTGCATAATCTTCAATCACGAGAGATTTGACTTTACAAATTTTTCCCAACGGGAGGGCTCATCATTGGACGCCAAGAGACTGGAAGTAACTTTCGGGAATCTTGGATTTGACGTGGAAGTTTACGATGACTTCACGCATAGCGAAGTTATGGACATGTTACAAGACGGTAAGAAACGATAGTGAACAGCAACTAGTAGCACCACAACAATATTCTAATTTCCCATTCCATAATATAAGTGTAACGTAACACATGTTGCACATAATAGTTATATTATTGAAGAGGAAATTAGAATAATGATATAATGTTACTGGTAGCTGATGTTTATTGCGTATCTATCACATTTTGCGGCGACACATTGACATCCGTCTCCTTTTCAATCTCGACTGTGTAGTTTCCTTGCACTCTCGCATAAAATATGAATTATATATTTATTCAATTACATTGCTTCTTCTTTCTCGTGAATTAGGCTTAAACCCTGTTTTATCCTGTACCAGAACGAACTGGATAAAACTGTACCAGAAAACAAACTGGTACTTTGGTTTGACTTCATCTTCGGTAGGCTACTAACCTTCCCTAGTAGCACGGTGCATTGACTAAACATTGTCCAATGTTGAATGGTTATACTAGAAATGCACTGGTCGATATTGCCCAACGAAAAGTGAAAAGTAAAGCGAATACTGGCCATGGAATAAATATAAATATTGCACAATAATAATTATACAATATTAGATTTATATTGAAAGTGCATTGGCCAATATTTAACAATGTAATAAGAATATTTGGTCTAATATTGATACAATATTAAACCAGTATTGTTAAATAGACATATTGGCTAAATAAGAGAAGGCGTCCATCTTACAATATTGGACCAATATTCGGAATACTAGGCTCTTACATTATTTTCCAGTATTGCGTCAATATATTGTGCTACTAGAGTTGTCGAGGGAACCTTGAGAGCTACGCTCCTAAGACTGGTATTGCAATTAAAATTCGAATGTTTGATTATTACAGTGAGCAATCTCGATCATACGGATAATGACTGTCTCTGCATCATTGTGCTAACTCATGGGACCGAGCATGATATGATATGCGCGAAGAACGCCATTTACCAAGTCGACGTGCTTTGGAAGCCCTTCACCGCTGATAAATGCACATCGCTCGCGGGCAAGCCTAAGCTGTTCTTCATCCAGGTAAAACTACATTTTCCAGTTCCGTTCTATTTTTAAATTATTGACACGTCCCGATATATTTTCGCTTGGTTTTATCCAGCTCGCTTACTCCGTCTGGCTTTTTGTTTAGGCTTGCAGAGGGAAAGCAGCCGACAGTGGTATTAAAATATCTCCCCGCACTCTAAGACACACTGAAACTGACACGGTGCCTTATTATACTATTCCGACTCACGCAGATTTTCTGATGGCTTACAGCTCGAGGCAAGGTGAGTGTCTATGATACCTCAATATGATTCTACAGAAAGTTGGTCATTTTGTAGAGGCGTTATTCTAACGGGGGTAATCAAAGGGCTGAGCACCAATATAATAACTAAAATTGACTTTAACAAAATATTACAAGAATCGAACTTATTTCTGTTTCGGATTTTAAACACGATGTGCAAAAATGCACTTTTTGAAGCTATCACAATATATAAATTTGAAAAAGTACAAAAGTACAAAAGTACGAAAAACCAAGTACATTCTTAATAACTGATTATAAAATATTAGTAATTTTATTTCATTATAAAATATTATATTTTAGTAAAATACTAATCACAACAATTAAGATTATTACGTAATATTGTATAATTGAATAATGATTAAAATTTTTTTTAATACCAAAACATACAATATAAAAATAAATAGGTATTTATAAAAGCGTTTCTTTCTTCCTTTAAAAAAGCTTGCTTAATTCTCATTGACTCAATTATTAACTCAAATATCATAACTTGATTAAATTTATTGGAAACATGTTTCAGTTCTACTGGATTTACAAGATTACATTTTATTATATCGATTGTTGAGTTTACTAAAGAAACGTTATTCCCTTGCAAAGCTTATCAGTTTTTATAATAATTTAATCTATTAGAAAATTTTCAATTTGCGAAATCCAATAATTTCTGTCAGAGAAAAACTAAACTTTTAATATAGCAAGAATAGTCATTGTAAAATAGCATAACAGAAGGAGGGTATTGATAAATTGATTAATTAATGAGTACAAATGAATAATTGTCCGTTACCTCAAGGCTTCTTTACCTGGAGAAATCCCACGGAAGGCACATGGTATATACAATGCTTGTGCGATATTTTGGATGAATACGGGACAACGAAGGATTTGATGAGTATATTGACACTGACGGCGCGAAAGGTCGCTACGAACTTCTCCTCCGTTAATGCCGAAGATTTAGCCTTCCACGACAAGAAGCAGGTGCCGTCGGTGACGACTATGCTTATTAGAAACGTTTACTTCCCACCAAAATTGGAGGCCCAAAAATCACATCTACTAAAATCGGATTCGCCAAACTTGAGCCAACCAGAACAGGAGTAAGAAAACTGAGCAGAGCAGAGAAAAGAAGAGCAGAAAACTGATAAAAGTGCAGAATTTTTTAATTACTTAAGAATTAAACAACAATACTTCTTATTGTATGAAACGACAGAATAAGGAAGATTCAAATCTACGCGCTAAAAAAATAAGTACAAGGTCTTTTGAAGAAAAAGAACATTTCTCGCTTTGTACGCGTTAACATCTTTATTTGTTTGAAATATTCCAAGAAGTATTTTGATAATGTTATGTCGTTCATATCTTATTGAAATTGAAATATACTGTGCTTTCGAGACTAGATCTACATATATCTATTCCAGATAGACAGATATCGATCTGTCTAAAAGATATCATGATATTGTTTTTCTTTATATACGAAGTGTACTACTTTCATTTTATATATAAAAATTTAAACACATGTATCTCATATACTTAAGAAGAGTTTATAAATTAACACTTCCACCTTCCTCTTTACTGATTATAATATTTTCCATTATTTTTCTTGATATACCTTAATATCTAGGATACCGTAAAATAATTAGTGAGATAATGTCAATAATTCAAATACGCGTGAATGAAAGTCAATATAATATCTGTGCGCTCCTGCCTTCAAAATAAAAAACTAGATATATTATAATATAAAATATTACATTCATAATATGAAATAATTAATTATTTAAAATATTAAGAAAATATTAAATAATTAATTATTTCATATTATTAATGTAATATTTTATATTATAATATATCTAGTTTTTATTTTGAAGGCAGGGGCGCACTAATATTATATTGACTTTCATTCACGCGTATTTGAATTATTGACATTATCTCGCTAATTATTTTACGATATCCTAGATGTTAAGG